CCTGTGGACTGATGATCTTGGGTTCGATTCTAGTCAAGGGCACATACCTCGGTTGCAGGCTCGATCCCTGGCCCTGATCAGGGCACATGCGGGAGGCAACCATTCGACGTGTCTCTTGTATTGATGTTTCTCTCTCCCCCTCCCTTCCACTCTCTCTAAAAAAAATTCAGTGGAAAAAATACCCTCCCGTAAAGGTTAACAAACAAAAATAAGAGTGAGGCTTGAACACTCTGGGTGTGTGCTTGAGCCGGCAGTGCTGTGGCATGTCACAGCGAGCAGTGAGTGAGTGCTGGAGGAGGCTCTGAGGGAGAGGAGGCTGGAGGGGGTAAGCAGGGGCTAGGTTGAGGAGGGACTTGTTTGCCACGAATTGAAGGGACGTGCTCAAGCGTCAGGATGTTGTCCTGTTGGCCGTTCGAGAGTTTCAGGGGAGTAACTTGGTCACATTGTATTTTGGAGACTCTTGTGTTGCTTCCTGGTGTGTGTAGGGCTGACCCAGAAGCCTGGAGACCGATTTCATGGGTGATTTTTAGAGGAAGGCCAGGGGAACAGACCAAGGAAGCTTGGTGAGTGAGTGAGTGACATGGATGAGAACAGAAGTCAGGCTGATAGATTTTAGAGATTGTCCCCATTTCAGGGGAGAGAGGGTGATTTATGTAACCACTGCCAATTCTTTCATTAAATTTCTACCAAGAATTAATAAAAATCCTATCTTCTCTGCATTTTAACCAAATATCTGGTCCCGATAGGAAAGGGAAGGCTGTCTGTCTCTTTAAGTGTTGACCTAATTATTCTAGCAGTTCCAGGGAGTTGTGAAACATTTGTGGTTGGGAGAGGCTGGGTTTTTTTGACACCAGGCAACACCCTCTGACCAGTTTAGCTTTGCTCAAACAAGAGTAGGTAGACTGAGAAGCAGGGTTGTACATTGAAATAAAAGATTTCGGCTCTTAGGCCTTTTAAAAAACTCTTTTCTTTTTAAGGAACCTTCCATTAAAGAAACCCTACATTAAATGATTTCCAAACTTTTTGTAATTTGATTCCTTTTCCAGCTGAAGTTTCAAGATTCTTCCCCATTAGGGAGAATGGTCTGTAAAACCACACAGAGAACGCAACGGATTGATTGAGCGCCACCTGCTGGTTTTATTTTAATGGGCAAAGAGGTAGTGCTTGGAAAACTTTAAGAATTTGCATATATCTTAGTGTTACAAAATCATGACGCTGGAAGTCAAGGTGAATTTTGATGATTGTTAATAGTAATATTTTAAATAATTGCTTTGTGTAGCGTTAGGAAAGGTAGTGCTGTACAAATGAAGAAGGCAAGTTCTAGGGAGTTCACTCACCCATGTTTTTGTCTGGCAAAGGCTTAGCCTGATGGAAATAAAAGGTAACTTTACATGTCAAATATTTTCTAACATTGAAATCAACCGGTCTGTGTATCTGGAATGAATTTAGTTTATGCCAAAAGCTAGTATTTTCTCTAAGTGGTTTCCTTGTCTATTCTCGTTTTCCTTGTTACGGTACTGCTGTGAGATAAACCTTTCTAGAACATTTGCTGCTTATAACATGGCATTTTCTACCCCGCTTCCCCCAATTTCCTCCCAGCACATACCACACAAAGCTGTATTTTTTCTTGTCCATTTAGGTTAAAGTACGAATCGTTCTTTATTTTAAAAAATTGGAAAACATAGGAAAGCATGGAGTATATTAAAGTCGGCCGCAATCACTGTTTAGGAATAACAGCTATTAAAATTTTGGTGTCTCCTTTTTCTTTTTTCCAAGTGTGTGTTTTGAACATTTGCTACGTATTCTAGACAAAAGGGACAGTTCAATGAATAAAACATGCTCATATGGGGCTTAATACTGATAAATAATATTTATTTATTGAGATGTAGCTGACATATAACATTGTTTTAGGTATACAGCATAATGATTTTGGTGTGTGTATGCAATTTGAAATGGTCCCCACAATAAATGTAGTGAATACATCCATTACTACATACAGTTGCAGCATTTAAAAAATAAATATTTTTATTGATTCCAGAGAGTAAGGGAGAGGGAGAGGGGGAGAGAGAGAGAGAGACTACCATCTGGGCATGTGCCCTTGACCGAAATCGAACCCAGTACTTGTCAGTCCGCAGGCCGAGGCTCTATCCACTGAGCCAAACCGGCTAGGGCTGCAGCATTTTTTTATTATAACTTTTAAGATCTCTCTCCTTGGAACTTTCAAATATATAATGCAGTGTTCTTAACTAGTTAAAACCATGGGCATCATGCTGTACATTGAATCTATTGTAAGAATAGCACTCTGTTTCTTGAGTTGAGATTATTGGAGAAGTAGAGGCGTAGGTGCATTCTCTTCTGGGGTTGGGTCCAGCTAATATGTTAATCAAGAACGTCTTGAAAGTTGCCCTTGTTAATAAGTGTATCTGTTGTAGTTAGAAACGTGACAGACTTGCTAACTGGGCAGCCAGATTGATTTATCTATCTATTCCATGAGGGCTGGCCTTCCTTAGGCAGCACAATCATTTGCCAAGGGTATCCCTCAAGGAGGGTGTAATTAAAGCAACCCCCTCAGCAAAAATTCTTACTTAGGATCTGGTTTTCGTTTTTATATTTTAATCACCACTCCACTTGCTTAATCTTTCAAGGCCATCTGAAGTAATAGTAGGTGCCTGGTACTTAAGCAGTAAAATGGGAGTCACGTGGTGGAAACTCAGAGTAAGAATTTTTGTTATTTACTGTCAGTGATTTTATCAGAATGCAGGGGAAGCAGGGACTTTAAATCCAGGCCCCCTTGGAATCCATTTCAAGTGGCTTTAAAGTGACTGAGCCTTCTGTGTTCCATTCTACTTCATATTTGGGGTAGTTTGACTTAATGTAAAAAAAAAAAAAAGAAACTATTAAATACAGCTATGAAAGCAATTTGAAACTAACTTGTGCCTTGGGAATGAAAAAAGGTTGCTTTTGGGAGCTCCGTTAAAAGGATTTCAGCTACCTATTAACCGATTCTCCTGTCCCCAGTTAAAAGAAGGGAGAACCTGGAGAGAAAATCCTTGATCTAGAAAAGGAAGCCATGTTCTTAGAATTCAGGTTAGATATTTAAGTGAGAAAAACTTATTTTCTGCAAAAGTCCACATTGTAAATAATTTAGGTTTGAGGACCAGGGAGTCTGTAGCAACCACTCAACACTGCTGTGGCCTGCCCTTCTAGTGCAAACGTAGCCATAGACAGTATGTAAGCAGATGGGTGTGGCTGTGCTTCAATAAAACTTTATTTTATTTTTTAAAATATATTTTTATTGATTTCAGAAAGGAAGGGAGAGGGAGAGATTGAGACATCAATGATATGTGTCGTTCGTTCTGGCTTCGTACTGCTGCATTCTACAGATCTGAGCGCCTACCTGGCACAGGGCTTTGGGGACTGTTCTGAGCTGTGTTTCCACAATCAACCTATTGCCGCATTTCTGTTACGAGCCTGATCCTAGGTTTGACTTTAGTGTTCAGTGTTTGGTAAAACACTACCTGCTGCTCTGTTCTGCTGCTGGGCTTAGTTAGTTGTGGCCACAGGGTGGCGTGGTTCTCCTGTGGGCGTGGCTCTCGTTGCTAAAATGGAAAGGCTTAAAACATACTGTAAGTAAGGAGAATTCTGTCCCCTACTTAACATGGCATGGTTTTCTCTGAATTGGTTTTCCCGCTGTTGTTATTAAGATTTACATAATACTGAACTGCAGTGCTTTAAATCTCAGTGCTTTAAAATCTTTTGTTTATGGTTACAACATGAATTATATAATGTTGATGATTGGGAGAATGGTAGTTAGGGCTGTATTTCATAGAATATGTTTAATTTAGCCACTGACCTCAATTTAAAAAATTAACATATAAAACTAATAAAAAAAATCTCTACATAGTTGCAGGGTCGTGAGCAGAGTTATTGGCCCAAGATTTTTATCTGACTCCCACGAGTTTAGTAGTGGGGTGTAGAAAGCAGAGTGGGGATTCCAGATGGTCAGGAAACACAACTTGTAAGAAAAACAACCCTCCCCATCCTTATAGATTAAGAATATTATCATAAAGCTGATGTGTTCTAAGAGTTTTTCTATAAATGGTGGGGCAAAAGTAGGTTTACAGTCGTTCGTATAGTTAATAAATAAGAATACAAGAATGAACTGTGTTTTGGGTACTCACACCTGTAACCCCCTTTGGCCTCATCCTGTTTTAGCTGCAAGGAGAGAGGTATTATCTTCATTTATGTGCCCAGGCGTATGCTCTATGCACTCGACCGTTACCAGGCCAGCGCTGTCAGATGCCCCTGCCCTTGCTGGGGAATGGTGGGCTCGGTAATGATTTCTGGGGGCTAGGATTTAGAGCATCCGTGGGCAAACTACGGCCCGCGGGCCGGCCGGCCCCTTTGAAATGAATAAAACTATTGAAAAAAAAGACCGTACCCTTTCATGTAATGATGTTTACTTTGAATTTATATTAGTTCACACAAACACTCCATCCATGCTTTTGTTCCGGCCCTCCGGTCCAGTTTAAGAGCCCATTGTGGCCCTCGAGTCAAAAAGTTTGCCCACCCCTGATTTAGAGGATTACTCCTGCAACTGGAACCCAGAGGTTAAGGGTAATTCAACATAGGCCTCCTCCATCCTCTCTGCCTTATTTTTGGATTTGCCTTGATTTCTCTCCCCTCTCCCATTCCAATTTGTCAAGATTTAAATATACCATCTGTTACCTTGTTAGTTTACTTATTTGTCTAATTAGCTGCAATAAAATGTAAGCCTAAAGGGGACAGAAGCCTTATTTTTGGGTCACTTTGTATTCTCAGTGCCTAGAATATTGACTGCACGCCAGTGCTCAGTCCGTGTTTGTGTTTGTGTAAACCTCCTAGAATGGGGCACAGTTGAGATGATTCGTGCGATTTTGCCTTAATTGTGGTGTTTTGTAAAGATAGACTCCCAAGAGGAACCCTACTAAAGCCTCCTTGCTCATCTTTCCCTTTCCTAGGGCGACTGTGTTGTTACTGTATTGCTCGCTGAAGAGGACAAAGTTGAGGATGATGTAGTGTTTTACTTGGTGTTTTTGGGTTCTACCCTTCATCACTGTACAAGTACCCGGAAGGTCAGCTCCGATACGCTGGAGACCATCACTCCTGGTGAGTATTTGCGTGGAATCTTCACTAGCCTTTACCAGTTCTCGAACACTTTTATTCTGTGTTCACTAGTATGGCGTGAATCAGGGTGATAGAACTATGGTCACATCTTTATTTTTAAATACACTTTTAAATTAACTATTTCGATCATACCTTTCTAGTTCCACAAAAATTAGACCCAAACTAAAAATAAATGAAATAAAATGGTGAAATAAAATGAAAAAATAAAAACCAGGCTCAGCAAAAATATTAGTTTATTGGAATGCTGAGGATTGGGGAAACTAAAGCTCACGCGAAGGTGGACGCTCTCACGTGGTCACAGGTGAGACTGCACATCTGGTTCTGTCACAGGTCAAAACAGCAGCAGCACATTCCTCAGTATCCGTGGGGGGAAGGCTTGAAGAAGCTCCATGAGAGCCCGACTTGCCCCAAATTAACAAGTTACAGTTATGGTAGAACAAGTACTTTTTTTGCTGTTACATTTATAATTTTAACAGAGTTAAAAGAAAAATGTTTACTTACTTTTTTTTTTTTTTTTTACAAAGTCATTGCTGTATCCATGGAATGGCTGATAAAATAATGGCTACCTCTTGACCTATCCTAACACCTGAAGATGCATTGATTTGTGTTTGGGGATGAGCTGCTTACCTTAATTGACCTTGCGTCAGTGTTAATAATTGGCCAGTTTATCAGAAAACAAAAGCAAACACATTGGGGGGAATCTCTACGAAGTGTTGACAATTGAACTGTTTTTCTTTAGAGAATAAAATGGATTTAATTTGAATGGAAACGTTTCTTTTTACTAGTGTTTTTATATAACCCTGGTTCCACTTTATTAAAATAAATGCTGTAAAAAAATTATCCAGTATCTGGTCTTGCCAGTATTGAATCAGATTGCCAGTTTTTTGTTGCTGTGCCATTTTATATAAGTTAACTTCATATCTGATACTTACCAAATCCTGGAAATTTTACCACATTCAAGAACTGGGATAATGACAGTTGAAATCTGTATTTATCCTTCTACTTGGCAAAAATGATTTTTAAAAGTACAGGATTTAAAGATTCTGGGCAATTGTGTGAATATTTCCCCCCAAAAAATTTTAGGGAGAGGAAATTTAACAAGGACTTCAGGATAGATACTGATTTCTTTCTAAAGAGTATTAAGTATCCTTCTCTGTAATTTGAAGCGGCACTCCTCTTGTTTTCTGTGATGTGTATCATGTCCCAAAGTCTGATCTGGAGGTGGAGGGCTGCGCACTAGCAGGTTCCTGTAGTGTCACCACTGGCTAGCATTTTAGTATGCGGGGTGACGGGGAGCAGCTCCTCAGCGGGGAGTATCTGATTGAGAAAGGCACGGAGGCAATTTTTATAAAATTATTCCTTCCAGAAGTATACACACTTTAGGAGTAAAAGTTGGGGGTGGAGGGGGAGAGAAAAAGAGGGGGGGAGAGAGAGAGAAAGCATCACCCACAAGGCGAATGCAAGTAGCTGTAAGAGAAAGGACAAATGTAATGGGTGTAGCCTTGGGCCCTAGCTGAGATCCTCAGTCACGAGAACCAGGAGAGTCTGGCCTCTTGGTTGGAGGTGGATATGCCCCACAGGTCCTTCACCTTCACTGGTATGTGATTTTTAAAATGTGTTTTGTTTTGTTTTTTTATTTCAGAGAGAAAGGGAGTGGGAGGAAGAGAGAGAAACATAAATGATGAGAGAGAATCATGGATCGGCTGCCTCCTGCACCCCCCACACTGGGGATGGAGCCCGCAGCCCGGGCATGTGCTCTGACCAGGAATCAAACCTTGACCTCCTGGTTCATAGGTCAACGCTCACCCACTGAGCCACGCCAGCTGAGCAGGCATGTGATTTTTGTCAGTGTGGGTCACAGGTGTATGCTAAGAAAGGCTTGTGTTAGGAGTCCCTGCCACGCGATGGCACAGTGTTCTCACTGCGTCCCAATTCATTCTGGTTCTTAGAAGTCACTCTACTAGAAAGCTGTGCACTTGTGCAGGCACACACACATGCACTCTTCCTTTTGAAAAATGCAAAGGAGTCTCTTCTTTCTTGAATTGAGTTGTTGGCTCGGGCAGGAGCCTGTGCCCGCTTTCCAGAGCTACCTTTGGTCTTCTCTGTGCGTCAGTGAGCCGCACTGACAGCCTCCGATTTCCTGTCTGCTGAGGGCGGCGTCAGATCAGCCAGGACGCTTCATGGAAAGTCTGTGCTTGCCTGTGCCCCCCAGTTCCCGGACAGATGTGCGGTCTGTCTGCAGCCGTGCGGGTGTCTGCGTGCTCTCTGCTCACGTGTGGGACTAGCTCTGCAGGCCTGGTCAGTTTGCTGACTACGGGACGGAAAAGAGCTTTGTGCCTTGTTCTTGCTGTTCATGTCATGTTTCATACCGACTGCTGGCTTTGGTGTCTCTTTAGAGTTTTCTGTGTTTTGCTGACCATGTTTTGTAATATTTTTGTTTTTACTAATGAGATGATTGATTGACCTTCCAAAGGCAGCGACTTCCTGATGTTAGTCTCTAATCTTTTATTTGGAGGGGAACAAGATATTTCTAAATTGTCTCCTTGAAAACACACACACGCACACACACACCTCGCCCTGGCTGGGTTGGCTCAGTGGATAGAGCGTCGGCCTGCGCACCAAAGGGTCCCAGGTTGAATTCCGGTCAAGGGCACATGCCTGGGTTGCAGGCTCGGTCCAGTGTCCAAGAGGCAGCCAATCAATGATTCCCTCTCATCATTGATGTTTCTGTCTCTCTCTCCCTCACCCTCCCTTTCTGAAATCAATAAAAATATATTAAACACACACACACACACACACACACACACACACACACCTCTTTGACTTATGATATTGAGATTATTTCTTCTATTTTTCTCACTGTTTTGCTTGTTTTCTGGTGAGAAGTTTGTGTTTGCTTATAAAGAAGTTGTAAAGGATTTTAAAAGTAATCATTTCTTCTTTTTTAAAGTATATTTTTATTGATTTCAGAGAGAAAGGAAAAGGGAGAGAGAAACATCAGTGATAAGAGAGAATTATTGATTGGCTGCCTCCTGCACACCCCCTACTGAGTCATACCAGCCGAGCAAAAGTAATCTTTTCTTGACTTACCTACAGTTGAAAGACTGTGGTGCTCGGCCAGTGTGGCTCAGTGGTTGAGTGTCGACCTATGAACCAGGAGGTCATGGTTTGATTCCCAGTCAGGGCACATGCCCGGGTTGTGGGCTTGATCCCCAGTAAAGGGCATGCAGGAGGCAGCCGATCCATGATTCTCCGTCATCATTGATGTTTCTATCTCTCTCTCCCTCTACTTGCATCTTAGAAATTAATTAAAATATATTTTTAAAAATACTCATGTACATACAAGCACGGTTTACACACCAAATTTGGGCATCTATCATTAGGCTACCAAAAACTTGTAGGGGTGCATACTTGTGCATATCATCTCATCTGGTAGAGTGTGGGTCTGAAGACTAAAGATTTCCTTTAACCCTGTTTAGCCACTTCAAAGGGAAGAAAAAGACACTATTTTTCTATTTTCCACCATTGACTAATAATGCAACCTTTCTGTGTGGAGGTGTGCAGAGTGGGTCTGGGCTTGACTGAACCAGCAAGCACTTTCAGGGTTCCTTTCTGGAGAGCCAGCCGGTCAAACAAAGTCCCAATTGTTCCATCTCCAGCAGAGAAGGCCCGGATGGGATGTGTGCTGCTTTTAGCTTAACAGGAAATGAAGTCATTCTTGGGCCATGCTGCAGCTGTTTGTTTATCTGTAGCAATATTTCGTTTCCATGGCGACGGCTGCTTCATGGAGTGATAAGAGACCCGTGGAAAAGCTCTTCCACCCTCAGGAGCACACACCTCCTGACCTGCAGGCTAAAAAAAGGTTTAGGTTAGATGCTTTGCAGAGGACCGTCAGCAGTTAAATTTTGTTTCTCTCTCGTGTTTTTGTTTATTCTGCATTCTTCCCCTTCCCTTAATTTTTTCAGTTCTGCCAAAGGCAACATCCAGCTCAGAAGCTTCATTGGGCCATTTACAGAGCTCTTTGCAGACTCCTAGGGCTATTTTCTGGAGCAGGAGCATTTAGTAACGAATAATAATAACTAACAATTTTAGGTACCTGTGTTATGTCCGGTGATAGCATACCTTTGTGCAAACGGGCTTCATGGTTGAATGACTTTTTCAGGAAAACCCAGGCTGTCTGCCATGGAGGGTGAGATTCAAAGCTAATATTTTCTGACTCTACAGCTGCTGCTTTAGGACCCCTTCCGTTTATTTCATCCAGTTAGGAACAGCCCTGTCCCACCCCTTTGACTTTATATTTCTATTGTAAATGAGCGGGACCTGCCTATGGGATAACTTCAGAAGGCAGTGTCGGTCATGTTTCTTTAACAGCTTAGCTCTCTTCTTTCCCTCCGAATCCCCTGGGCGAACTTTCTTCAGAAGAAGCACAGCCAGTTTCTCAGAACTTCCCCTTTTTAAAAAGACCCGTGATTTTTATTTTCCTTAGTTACTAGAGAATTGAGTGGAAGGAAAACACCACGGAATTGGCTGGAACCTTGCTACTCTTCTCTCCATTGCAGCTTCTGTTTCACATAAAAAGAAGTTAAATGGTGATTATCGTATTGGATTGGCTATTTTGGAATTGGATATTACATTGAATTGGCTAGGCAGTGTAGATGTAGACACCTTGCATTTCTGTGTGCACGACGGCACTCAGGAAATGAATGGCCCATGCAGAAGTCATGGCTCCAGAGCTAATTTATGGCAGCCAGAGGTCTTCTGTGTGCATATGCAGTGATTTTAGTTTATTGTATTGTAGACCCATATCACCTTGTTTTGAAAGTGTTGATTTTTTTCTCTAGATGCTTCATCTGAAAGGGTAGAAGGATTAAAAAATAATCTTAAGAAGCACTTGAGCCTAATAGGAAACATTAATGTGAGAGAGGCGCCCGGCCAGCCTCGTGTGGTTGGATCCAGACGGCAGGGTGAGGCACTTTATTCTTCATCAGTAGTAACTCTTCCAATTTACTCCGTTTAGCGAAGACTAATCCAGGAAACCGTCCGTTCTCCAGTCCTCTTTGAATCCTCAGTTTTTCTTTTGAAAAAGAAGCAGGCCTATAATCATATCAAACAAATTCCAGATTTATGGCACTGTTCGCTTAAGATGATTCATAGTTTCTCCTCTAGGTCGTGAGTTCATGTCTGAAGGGGAAATACTGGGCTGACAATCAGATGGCTTCTCGTACATATCCCTTTCATGGCCTTTTCTGACATTCTACCTCCTCTAATACACAGTTTTATTTTCACTTTCTGCAAAGAGAGCTGCCAGTAGTTCACCCAGCCACTTTCTACACAAATTCTGCTGCTAAAGCAGCGAGAGACATTACTGCCTACACCGCTGAGCACTTGGCTTGCACACATACCTCATACCCCTCACCTCTGTTTCTCCCCTCGTTTGTCCCCACCCATCCCAGCATCGTAAACAGTCATTTTAGCAATTCCAGGTAGATTTCTGCGCAGATACGCTGCTTCTGTACTCTAGTCAGGAGTCAGGTGGCATTGCTTCCCCATGGCCATTGCTGTGTGTGTGTGTGTGTGTGTGTGTGTGTGTGTGTGTGTGAGAGAGAGAGAGAGAGAGAGAGAGAGAGAGAGAGAGAGAGAGAGAGAGACAGACACACGAAGTTGAAGAACTGGAATATGGTCTGAACTCTCTGGTTATATCCAGAAGGTGACGTTGCAGTGCCGTAAATGCTATTAATTTTAGTGGCAATGCGACTCCCCTTCTGGTTCAAGGTTTCAGGTTTCTCACCTTTGCACAAGTGTGGGGAAGGAGACTGGTAAGAAAGAATCAGGACCGTTCATTTTATTTTTTAACTATATTTTTATTGATTTCAGAAAGGAAGGGAGAGGGAGAGATAGAGACATCAATGATGAGAGTCATCGATTTGCTGCCTCCTGCAGGCCAGGCCCCCACTGGGGATGGAGCTCACAACCTGGCCATGTGCCCTGACCTGGAATCGAACTGTGGCTCAACCACTGAACCACGCCTGCCAAGCCTGTATGTTTCTTATAGAACCCATTCCATTGTGACTTGCAGTTATCTGCAGCTTGTTTGACTCCTGTTTGTGGACCGGAAACCTCTGAAGGGCGGAGACTTACCTGACTCATCTTTACCTTCTAATCACAGTTCCTGGGCTTGGTGGCTGTCCAGCTATTGTTAGATGTTAGAACAGTTGAAAAGATATACTCACTTTCTGCCAGGGAAACACCAAGCCTCCTCCCTGACTCAGTCGACTTGTTTCTGCTGACATGGTTGTCATATGTAATTAGGCTGGCTGCCCTTCAAAGAAAGATTCAGGTGTTTTCCCCCTCATTTTATTGCATAAGTTCAAAGTACATATTGAGCTGGAATGCATACGTGGGTGTACACACATGCGCGCACACAGAGGGTCCCTTAGTTTCTTAAAACCTTCATAGGAAGAATTCAACTCCGAAGGCAGTGGGAGTATCTGGTAGAGCTGTGTGTCTACAGGGAGACTGATCTTGGAGGTTCCTGAACCTGTTATTTTGGCCTAACAGTTCTACTGGCTTCTCATTCCAAGTATTGGGCGCCTTTCAGGCAGGGGCAAAGCTGTCATTCCTCTCCTTTGGTTATAGACAATGTGGCACAGAACTCTCGCATCATCAGGTGCATTAGGCCATGCCCTTTGGCGTCAGACTTGAATTTGAATAATGGGCTCTGCTTCTTAATGTGTGTAGCCTTGAGGTCGCAGTTCTCTCATCCATAAGACGCGGACAACCCTTGATAAATACATCGCTACCGAATTGGTTGTGTAGAGAAAATGCCTGGTATGCAGTAGGTGGTGGTTGGTAAAGACTGATTACCAATCTGAAATCCCACAGCAGCGAGAGACTTCTTCTGTTACAGGCTAAAGGGCTGAAGGAGGTCCCTGGGGGAAAAGTATGTGGAAAATCACTTTTCCTGTTCTCATGGGAAACGTGGGAAAAAAATTGCTGTGTTCTCTTGCAAAGACAACCGAAAGCTTAGTTTGTTCTGTCCAGGTCTGAAACCTCTGTTCGCCTGTGCCCATAGCATGGAAAGCCAGGGTCATGGGCCACATAGAGGGTTTCACTGGGCCTCCCCCCCCCCCCCCCCCCCCCCCCGTGGAAAAGCAGTCCTTGCATGGGAATGGACTCAGGGGAGCCATGGATGTACAGGTGCCTGTGGTTAATCAGGCAAAGCAACAACGTCAGTTCCCTCTCCTTTATTTTGTTCTCATCAGAAAGATATATTTTTTAAAAATCTATTTTTTATTAGAGGCCCAGTGCACAAAATTTGTGCACGGGTAGGGTCCCTAGGCCTGTCCAGCAATCAGGGCCGATTGGGGTTTTCTGGCTTCTGGCCAGCCAGGGCCTTCCCTCGTTCCATGCCACCCCCTGGTGGTCAGTGCACATCATAGCGGGCAATTGAACTCCCAGTCTCTCTTGGTCGAACTCCCGAGGGGACACTTTGCATATTAGCCTTTTATATATATAGATTGATTACATAGAGGAAGGGAGAGAGAGAGATAGAAACATCAATGGTGAATCCTTGATCAGCTGCCTCCGGCATGCCCCCTCCTGGGGATTGAGCCCGCACCCCGGGCACGTGCCCTTACTGGGAATTAAACCATGACCTCCTGTTCATAGGTCAGTGCTCAACCTCTGAGCCATGCCAGCTGGGCGAGCATTCATTTTTTTAGTTTGTTCAAATTGAACAGCCGCAGTTCGGTATATATTGAAATGCTCAGGGACTGTTGAGTGCCAAACACTATGTGGGACGTATGGTGACAGCTGAGATACAGTTGTCTGCCATTTGGTAAGGGACTGCGCCGTACTTGCAAACAATAGAGCTGGAGATGGAGTTGTTAGAAGTTTGGAAGATTGCTGCCAGAGCTCAGGGGAAGGAGGGACTCCCAGGCATGGGACGTGTGTATCATGCAAGAAGGGCAGTGAGGCCATGTGTGTCCTCTCAGCTGAAGGCGACTAACACTGTACTGTCTTCCTGTTCCGTGTGTTTTCTCAAGGTCACGACTGCTGTGAGACAGTGAAGGTGCTGCTATGTGCTTCCAAAGAGGGCCTCCCCGTGTTTGTGGTGGCGGAAGAAGACTTTGAGTTCGTCCAGGACGAGGCGTATGATGCAGCCCAGTTCCTGGCCACCAGCGCTGGGAACCAGCAGGCGCTGAACTTCACCCGCTTTCTTGATCGGTCAGGACCCCCGTCTACAGACGTGAATTCCCTTGATGAGAAGGTGGCCCTCGCTTTCCGACACCTGAAGCTGCCGGCGGAGTGGAATGTGTTGGGGACCAATCAGACTTTGCGTGGTAAGAACTTAAATGACCCACAAAGACAAGCTGAGTTTGGAATACTTACAGGGTCTTTTGGTTTGTTTGTTTGTTTGTTTGTTTGTTTGTTTGTTTGTTTGTTTGTTTTGTTTTAATTCTCACCAGAAGATATTTTTTTCATTGATTTCCAGAGAGAGTAAAAGGGAGGGAGGAGGGGGAGAGAGAGAGAAACATCAATGAGAGAGACATATCGATTGGTTGCCTCCTGCACTGCCCCCACCAGGGCTGGGGAACTTGGCAATCGTAAGGAATCGAACCTGAGATCCTTCAGTCCATGGGCAGGCACACAAAACAACAAGAACAAAGAAACCCCCACACTGATGTTCCTCTTAGTCAGATAGGGGTTTTCCCACATAGTTATTCTTGTGGCAGATGCCATCTACTAGATGCCATGGTTTTATATATAAATTTCGGTGAAACAGCCTAAACCTGGGGTCCAATAAATAACATCCTCTTTCCCTCCCAAGTTCAAATCCAGTTGAAAGATTTAGCAGGTACACAGCGAGAGGTGGAAATGTTTTTCTGTTACTGATAAAGCTGGGTTGGAAGACTGACATCAGACCTCCTGCCCGAAGGATTTGCTGTCCTTTCTACTTTATCTCTCAAAGAGCTGGACAGTCACAGGACTGCCCTTCAGTGTCCACGCAGCTTTGGTGACCGTGTTCTTTAGGGAGCGCAGACCCGAAGTCACCGCCTCTGCAGGTAGCAGGTCCTGAGGAGGGATGCTCGGAGGAGGCTGAGCCAGGGGCACGCTCAGTTCCTGCTTGCACAGACCCATCAAATACACGCCTTCTTCCTCCCATGACCCCATGGAAGATTGGTGAGGGGTATTTGCCACCTTAGCCTCTCTCGTATTCACTGAATTTAACAGTTAAGCCTGTGATCACCCGCAGAAATGCCGCCCCCTACCCTCAGGGGCTTACTGTGGACATGCCAAGGCAATCCAGGTAGAACACAAAGGCAAGTGTAGACTCTAAAATCATATCAGGAAGAAATCACCTTTCCTGCCTTTTCCTTGCTGATACAGTGTCCAAGAACCCTCTGCAATGCCAAGACCTGGAGGTCAGAGTGTTTGCCCTTGTGCAGGGCATGAGCGCCTCGCCAGACACCTAATGTTGGGGCCACACGCCCACAGCCCCACTGTGTCTGCGCTGGCCTGGGACTGCTTATTCTGGTTGCCATTCATGAGTCTCTGTCAAGATGGGGTGCAGTAGTTACTTTTGGAGCTTATGGTTTTTTATGGTTTTGTTTCTTTGTTTCTTTCAAGAAGGCACGGGAGTTGGATAGTTTGTTCATGTTACCATATCAACAAGAAATCCATTTCATCCTGAGCAACATGGGTTTCAACTGCGCAGGCTTCTTGTTCGCACGATTTCAGTCTATGGGTGGGAATCCACCTGCACAGAAGGCTGGCTTAGTTATATGCTGATTTTTGACTGCATCGGCGGTGCCCCTACCCCCTTGTTGCTCAAAGGTCAACTTTACTAGAAAAAGCGCAGGTCTGAAGCTTTAGGCGTCTCAGTTCCCCTCTCTGGACCTTAGCTTCCTTGTCTTTAATAGGGAACTGACCAGCTTTAATATTTTTGTGGACTTTCCGTGGAATTCTTAAGCTTCTATTGTATAATTGCTCAAGTAGTGCTAGCACAGGTTAAAGCAAATGTGAACACTTAGGAAAATGCATTAACATCACAGTAAGGTACCATTACACACCTATGAGGAAAGCTAAGGTTAAACATACCAAGTGCCAGCCCTAGCCGGTTTGGCTCAGTGGATAGAGTATAGGCCTGCGGACTGAAGGGTCCATGTTCGATTCAGGTCAAGGGACATGTATCTCGGTTGCAGGCTCGATCCCTGGCCCTGGTTAGGGTATATGCGGGAGGCGACTAATTGATGTGCTTGCTCTCTCACGTCAATGTTTCTCTCGCTCTGTCCTCATCTTCCCTTCCACTCTGGGAGTGCAGAGTGATATCACCACTCTAGGAGATGGTTTGGCAGTTTCTTATAATGCCACATGTGCATTTACTGTATGACCCAGCAATTCCACTTCTGCCTCTTCCTCCTAGAGAACAGAAATCTTCCATTCACTCAAAAAATCTTCACACAAATATGCCTATGGCAAATTATTTATAATCACCAAAAACTGGAAGTAACCCATATCTCTCACTCGGCGAATGTATAAACAAGCCGTGGTACATCCACACTTGAGTATTACTCAGCAATAAGAACTATTGCCATGTGCAACAACTTGGATGCATTTGAAATGCATTGTGCTAAGTAAGAAAGTCAGTGTCCAAAGGGTGTTTACTGTATGATTTCATTTATGAGAGATTCTGGAAAAGGCAAAATTATAGGCACAGAAACTCGATTGGTAGTTGCCAAGTCTAGGAGGGGGGAGCGTCTGACAGCAGAGGGGTATCTGAGGGAATTCTTTGGGTGTTGGAATGGTTCTGCATTTTGGCAGTGGTGGTTATAAGAATCCATGCATGTGTTCCAAATCATGAGACTGTACAAAAGTGAATTTTTACATACATTAAAAATAATTAAAGAACAAATGAAAATGAACAAGTTAGGGGTATACTTTGCAAGGTGAAATGCATGGAAAGGTCTTGATATACTCCTGCCTTCGAGTCAACAACTGGGAGCAGGAATCTGGTTTCAAGGGCTAGATTCGAATTCTGCAGTTTTAACTGTTCAATCAGTTGGGGATTAGAATCTACAAAGACTGAGTATTTTAAGGGCAGAGTAGCTTCAGTTGAGAGGGGCTTGCTTGCTGTCCCGGGGATGAATGTAGAGGAACATTCTGATCACGTCGAGTTGTACCTCTAACACTTTTTAAAAGTTGTTTAAAGAAAGAAGGTACCAAGTGAGCTTGTTGCCTGGATAATGAAACAGGTAAATAGGGCACTTGTTACATAACAGGGCTCCTTGCTATTAAAGGCGAGGATATTTACTGGTATTCCAGCTTAATGCTTGTACAAAGGCGTCATGTAAGATTTGAGCTTAATCCTCATACTAATTGTTCGGATGCGGAGCTTTTACTTTTTTTTTTTCAGGTCAGTGACTCCTTTTAAAATAGCTCAGATTTCTCCTACGGAAAAAAATACATATAGTCCTGCAGAAATTTACATATAATTTCGGGATTCATTGCTGCCTTGAACCGCAGGAATGGACGTGAAATTAAGAACTTCTGGTTTAGCTTTCCTATGGTAAACGGGAAAGAACTTAGGCAGTGGAGTCAGTTTGTTTACCTCCTGGCTTCCCTGCAAGGGTTTGTGCAGAATGCTAATCTGTTTCTCAGTTTCTTCACATATAAAGTGGAGGAAAATAATTTGGATCTTGTGTGCTAGTGAGCAGAGCTGTGCATTTTGAACATACCAGGGCCAATATGCAGTAGCCTTTTAGAGACAAATTTGAGCTCTGATGAGGGAAAGGAACATGTCTTATAAAAGGAAAGAACAGCATAATGAGACTGTGTCTGTTTTGCTTTAACTTATTTCTAAAGTTAATCCTCACTTTAAACATGAGCAAGAGGGGCTTGTCCATTTGAATTCTTCTAAGTGTTCTTTAATCTCTAGTTGCCTAAAGCAGCCTCTACACTGTTCTTTTAGCCTTAGTTCTCCCTTAAATGCCAGTAAGGATTCATCTGGGGGGACGGTGGATGGTGGGGTAAGGGTACCTTCCCTGTGAGTTACCAAGTATCGGTTGTTTTAGCTTTTTTAAATTGTATGTATGTATGTATGTATGTATGTATGTATTTAGTTAGTTAATCTCACCCAAGGATATTTTTTATTGATTCTTAGAGACAGTGAAAGGGAGGGGAAGAGACAAAAAGAGAAACATCAATGTGAGAGAGAGACAGCGATTGGTTGCCTCCTGCATGAGCCCCGATCGGGGTCAGGGATGGAGCCTGCAACCCAGGTACATGCCCTTCACTGGAATTCAACCCAGGACCCTTCGTCTCAGGCCGATGCTCTATCCACTGAGCTAAATCTGCTAGGGCTTTTCTTTTCCTTTTTTAGAGTCTGTTTTTATTGATTTCAGAAGGGAAGAGAGAGGGAGAGAAATAAAAACAAATGATGAGAGAGAATCATTGATTGCCTCCTGCACGCCCCCTACTGGGGATGGAGGCCACAACCCGGGCATCTACCCTAACCTTGAATTGAACCAGTGGCCTGTTGGTTCCTGGGTCAGTGCTCAACTGCTGAGCCACACCGACTGGACTAGTTGTTTTAGCTTTTTAATACCTCGGTGGTGAGTGAAAATGATGGATTAAGATGCTTTTTCCCGGAAGGAACCCGGAACAGTAGCAGTCAGCATACCTCTCAGGTCGGAGGGTGGGCCTATTGAAGAGGAAGGAGGAGAAACACGCTGGGGACGCCTCATTCTTAGTCAGTCGTGGTACCGCGGGACTAGGTGAAAAGGAAAGCTCATCGTCACGGGAGGTGGGCATCCTCCCACACAGAGAAATTTGGGTGGAGAGGAGGAGGAGACAGGCTGAATAAAGACTTTGCTGAAAACAGCCTGTGCGTTCTCAGCTCTGTGTGCCTGATGTTGGTTAATAGAACCTCAACCATAATCAGTTGCTGCCTGTTTCAAACTTGTTCCATAGGTTTTCATGGAAATTTTTCCTTAGCTGCACTCGCTAGTATTTATGTGTTTTTCAGCTGTCATAGCTACTACGAAAGAAAATAATGAAATATGAAAAGACCGCCAAGGGATTTTTCTCTTCACAGAGGATTACTACTGTCTTGACGCCCAAGACAAGCAGTTTCTAGTGATGGCAGGACCTCAGCTCCGCCAGGCTTTGTTGCCTGTCAAACCTTGATTCTGTCGCAAGATTACAAGTGTCATTTTTCCAAGAGCCCACATCTCACACCGGCCTTCTGTTCTCCTTCCCCACGGGGTGTAGACTTCCTGCGTCATACGAGCTTCAGGTGTATGTGAGAGGCAGTTCAGAATAGTGGAAAGAATGTGGATATTGGCGTCTCATAGATAGAGGTTCGGAAGCTACGGTAGCCGTGCCTCTGGGTGGCTCGATGGGGTGAGAAAAGTACACACAGGCTTTGATTGCTATGTTGTTCGCAGAACCTGCAGCGCTTTGCTTAGTTAGAAAATCCGGCAGTTTGAAGAAGATGCAGCCGCCTAGCATTTCATAGCTGAATTGCTCTCCGGGCACATCAGCTTTCTCTGCACATCTGGGCACGTATGTACAGGAGGTGCTTCCAGCATCTGAGTAGATAGCAAGGGGGGCCCGGGCATTTCCGATACCTGCTCTGTGGGTAAGAGCTGGGGCAACACAGGGATTTTTCCAATTGATGGTTAACCAGGAAAACCAACCAGCCAGCATATGGCCTACAGAAGAACATTACAGCATCAAGGAAATGGGAACATATCATGAGTGTTCATGGAAGGCTCTCTGAGTATAATTTTCTTTAAGAAACCAAAGAAAAATTGAGAAGAGATTTTCCATTTGTCCTTTAAAAGATCGAAGAAGTCAGGCTTCTAATGAAATTAGAGAAGGAAGCAGCAAGGAGAAAAATAGGCTTAATGAGCATGTCAGTCAGCTTTCAGCCAGAGAATCAGAAGCATTAGGGGGAACAAGTATGTATTAAGATTTATTACAGGGAGCCCAGCCGGTATGTCTCAGTGGTTGAACATCCACCTAGGAACCAGGAGGTCACAGTTTGATTCCTGGTCAGGGCACATGCCTGGGTTGTGGGCTCGATCCCCAGTAGGGGGCGTGCGGGAGGCAGCTGATCCATGATTGTCTCTCCCTCTTCCTTCCTCTCTGAGATAAAAATATATTAAAAAAAAATTTATTATCGGGAATAGCTTACGTGATTGTGGGGGCTCACTAAGCAAGCCCCAAATTTGTCGAGCAAGAATAGAAGGTCACGGGCAGGCAAGCTCAGACTCACCGGCGTGAGCCAGAGTGTGGTCCTCGGACAGTGGGAAGGGGAGACGGAGCAGGACGGAGCTCTGGAGCAGAGGCACCGCCAGCTCCCAGACACCGGCTCCCACAGGCGGGTTCTCTCTCCTGGGGAAACAGCCCTGCCTTCGAAGCCTTCCAACTGCCTCAGGCCCGCCGGCTTATCCGGGATATCTTCCTTATTAAATGAACTGATTAGGGGCTTTAATTACATCTGCAGAGAAGCCATCACAGTGAGGGCAAAGACGGACAGGGAGTTGGCTGACATGATGCGAGGACATCCAGCATCCCATGGCATAATTCAATTCAGACGGGGACAAAGGACCTCATTGACATCATAGGAAATGCAGTTAGTGGTCTGAAAACACAGTTGAGTAACTCTCAGAAGAGAGGAAAAATACAAAGGAACATCAGAGGAAAAATATATAGGTACAGAGAGGAAAGAACAGAGATTAATCCTAAATTGTAGGTTTAAACTAGCGTTTAAACGGATGCAAAAGGAACAAAATCAATAACTCTTCCTGCTGGATCCCCACGTTGTGAACTACATCCACTTTTTAAAGGATATGTGTATTTGTATTGATTTCAGAGAGGAAGGGAGAGGGGGAGAGAGAGAAAAAAATATCAGTGATGACAGAGAATCATGGATCGGCTGCCTCCTGCACGCCCCTACTGGGGATCAAGCCCACAACCCGGGCATGTGCCCTGACCGAGAATCGAACCATGACCTCCTGCTTCATAGGTGGACTCTCAACCACTGAGCCACACCTGCTGGGCCACCCACTTTTTTTTGGTAAGGAAAAGAATATACTGAACCACGGAGCCACCCTTATAAATTAGCTCATATATCAGTTCATAGAACAGGTGTATTAAATTGGAATGTAGAAAAGGCTTGATCCTCATGTGGAACTGTCTCCTATTGGAGATTTTGCTCCTCATTGTTTTTTTCTAACTTTATTTTGTTTTCCCTTGAGAGCTGTCTTTCCTCGGCCACTGCAGAATCGTTCATGTTGTACGTTGTGGCCTTAACTTTAGGATCTTAGGTACTTGGAGGTCGTGGTGTTCACTACCTTGCCTTTTTGTTGGTTTGCTTTTTTGTTTTTCACCTTCTCCCCTCGCTTCTTCACATCTTCTCCCCCTCTGCAGATGGCGGCCCCCGGGAGACATTGATGCATTTTGCCGTGCGGCTGGGCCTGCTGAGGCTGACGTGGTTCCTGTTGCAGAAGCCAGGTGGCCGAGGAGCGCTCAGCATCCATAACCAGGAAGGAGCGACACCTGCCAGCTTGGCCTTGCAGCGGGGTTATCACAAGTTGCACAAGCTCCTGACCGAGTAAGTGCTCGTTCTCCCGCCCCTTCCCTCCCCACCGACCCCACCCCTGACTCATGATTGTACCACCCACTTGGCATCTCGGCGTGTTTGCTCTGTGCCTTGCCTTCTGCTGGAGGCTTTGTCAGCCTGCTCCTGCCTCACTGTGAGAGTGACACACGTAAGTCACACCACCGTTTCTCTCCCCTTTGCCTCCTGCCTGCACTGCTCTCGCCTTTTATTATAAGTCTTGTCTGTGGGGGTAGCATTCTATTGCCCGGTGTCTAGTCGATCCTGTTTAGTACAGGAGGAAGGAGTTTCCCTGCGCCATACCTTCTTTGTGGTATGTCTCCAACACTTGTAAGACTTCATTAGAAGTGAATACTTTACTATAACTGCATGCGGGAAATATACTGAACCACGGAGGTTAGGTTTGAGTGTAATTTCTGTGAATAAAATCAGAGCAATCGTCTATTTGTATGAATAGCAGTAAAAAGCTACCGAGTTGACTTGGAAATCGCTGTAGAATAGCGTGTGTGTGTGTGTGTGTGTGTGTGTGTGTGTGTGTGTGTGGATTGGGTTGTCATACAGTCTGACTCTTCAGAGAGTTTTCTGAACAAAGGCTATTGGTTAAAATACTCGAATTTTTTTTCTTTTGTAAATAGAAAAATAAATGCATTATAGCATGCACCATTTTTCCATTGGGATATTTATAAAACGCAGAAATTTCAAGTACAGTTTTTATTGAATATATTTTTATTGTGTTATGATCATTGTCATCTTTCTGCTCCGTAACTGAAGAATGAACCTTGGATCCCTGGTCTTTAGCAATTGAGGGATCCTTGTAAATTAAGTCAGTATTCCCTAATTCTCAGATGTTTTGCTCACGGCAAACTTCATTTAGTTGCAGTTCATAGTTGACTACTTTTAGCTGTGAGTGTGGGACAGTGTACAATGGCCCAGAAGAGATCTCTGAATATAATGCTACTTACTGTCATATCAACAGCTGTTGTGCTTGTTTCTGCTTTAGGTGCTACGCTTATAGCTTTCCCAGTCGAGCCAGACAGAAGGTTCTTTGCAGGAAGCTTTGTAATGGGTGCCGCAGATACAGTGACGGTAGGAGGGGCGCCCTTCATCTCAAATGAGCGGTGGATACTTGAGCTCCCCTACCACAGTATTCCAGAAGCGATAGGCTCCATTCCTCCGTACTTCCCATCTGGCCAGTGATTGGATTCCCTCTGCTCTTGCCTCATGGCCGCTGGAAGACAGGCCTCGTTCCAGTAGTTGAAACCAGTGACTTAGTGTAACTATTAAGCGATTCCAATGCAGTTCCCCTAACTGTGATCTCAGGGCCCTGAGTTTTTGCTGGGAAGCAGGGTTGGTTAAGGATTGCCATCCAAATGGGGAAATGAAGTGATTACAACAGCTGCATTATATGCTGGTGAGGGTGTCACAAGACCTATTGCAGCACAGCTTAAAGGAAACTAGAGTGTGTGTTCTTGGAGAAGAGGTCTGGCTTGCTTCATGGTGCCTCCCCTGTTACTGTGTGAAGACCACTCATCCCACAATAAGAAAGGGAAATAAAGGGGAAGCCAGATTCGGAAACCTGCACAGAGGCCCGCATGAGGAGAGCGTGAGCGCGGTGCTGCAGGTCCAGCCCCGACCTGGGATTCTGCTGGCTCTTCCTCTAGGTTGCGGTTCTGTCACCTAGAAAAAGTGCTGGGTCATAATTAGCCATTTAAAAAGCTTGTGGGGTGATTTTTACTCAATCCCCCAGTCTTACTGTGGTATTAGTAGACTCTGCTAGAATTTCAAGGAAGAGTGGGTTGCTTTGAGAAATAAATGAAAGAATGCTTGGAGAGCCCTAGCCGGTTTGGCTCAGTGGATAGAGTGTTGGCCCACAGACTGAGGGGCCCCAGGTTCGATTCCGGTCAAGGGTACGTACCTCAGTTGCAGGCTCAATTCCTGGCCCTGGTCAGGGTGCGTGCGGGAGGCAACCAATTGATGTGTCTCTCTCACATCGACGTTTCTCTCTCTGTCTCTCCCCCTCCTTTCCACTCTCTCTAAAAATCAATGGAAAAATATCCTCGAGTGAGGATTAACAACAACAAAAGAATGCATGGAGAGTGCATAGCAGAGTGACTGACAAAAATATTCTCTCTTATTGCCCTTTTCTTAATTTTCCTCCTTTTCCTCTAGGTCTGTATCAGTTTTTCATCCATTAAGGACATTTTTCCAAAATCTTGAAATATTTCCAGGCAGCGTTTGGATGTCCCTACTTGATAAGAGTTTGAAATTATTCCCAGGTGTAACAGATATCACTTTAAAAGAATTAGTTTGGCTCTCTGACACAGGCTGTGATGTCTCGATGACTCTGGGTTGATGGCACAGGGAACTCTCGGTCGTTAAGGAATCATTTACAATGCGGCCACCATTACAAAAGGAATATTTCTCGTAAGGATTTTAACTGTGGAGTATTGACATAAAAATGGCGAGATACTTCATTTGTCCAAAGAGCGAGTGCCAAAATGTTTTGTCCTCATAACCATCTCATTTTCAGTATCAGTTCAACAACTCTTTATTTATCGAATGCCTGCAGTGCATTGTTGATATGTTATAGCTAATTTCATTTCACCCTTATGACACCCTTTCTCATGTAGGCATTATATGTATTTTACTGATGAAATATGAAGGCTCAGAGAACTAAAGTGACGAGCTCAATGCTTTATAGAACAGTGGTCAAGCTGCTGTAACATGCACACCTGTGGAATTCTGAGGCCCGTATTATTCCCTCTACAGAAATATGACAGACGCAGGAAGAGGCCACTGGGATAGAGTATGGCTGGCACGTGATGAGGAAAAGGCTCTAAGTTTTCCGTTCTGGCTTAGCCTCTCCTTGCCTGAGGGGAACAGGAGTCTCTTTACCATAGTTTGATGTTTCTATTACCCATCAGATGGGTTTAAACATATTATTGCTTACATTTAGCCAGTCTTTTTGTATTTCATTCCTGTGACAATTTAATGAGTGAGTAGGGTAGGTATTACCCTGGTTTTGTAATTGAGGAAACTGAGGCCAGAGAGGTGAAGTGAGTTCCCACAGTCCTAAGGCTACAAGTAACAGAACCAGGCCCAGGATCCCAGGCCAGTGGCCTGCCCAGTTTGGGATGACACGTGTGCACAGAGCGCAGACCCAGCCTGGCAGAGCCTAGGCCGTGAGTCATGGTCTCCTGTGGTGGGCGATGCTGGCCCCTCTCAGGGAGTTAGTGTCTCTCGTTTCTCAGTCCTTCTTTGGACACATTTGCACTTGAAACCTGGGTTCAGGTCAGAGGGTAGAGCAGCTACTCAAGGGTACGTGTTTCACAATGGAGCCAAGTGCAGTTGGGCAAGATGTCCTGTTAACAGGGCTTGCCTCCTTATGGTCGCTGCAAGGACGCGACAAGTGGGTCCTTCGTAGCCCTTCGGGTGCATGGCCAGTTTGGAGCCTTTGCTTTTCCTCAGGGGAGGAAAGAATGAAGTAAATGTACAAATGTACCTTCCGCATGATAGCCAGGGTTTTTAAAATATGCTTTACATTCATCTAGCCTGAGCCACACCCATCTGTCCATCTGTCCATTCGTTCACTTATCCATGTATTCATCCATCCATCTTCCTGCCCTCCTTTCTCACCATATGATCGGGTCTCTGTCTCTTGGTAAAGATACGGTGCTGGAGCTGGGTGGAAACTAGAAAGGGGGGGAAGGGCAGTGGCATTTATTAGATAGTGAGTATCTGCTACATTGGTGCTTTACAAATTCTCATTAAAATTTCTCAGCAGACATCTAAAGTGTGGTCAGATTAGTACAGTCAGTACTGTACTCCACAGATGAGGAGAGAGACCCAGAGAGGCTACATACCTTGCCCAAGGCTATGTAGGCAACAGTTGCCATGATTCACAAGCCTGTTCTTTTTAAGGTTTATTGATAGGATTTTATGAGCAGTCATGTTTGGTGACATTGTCAGTCTTTTAACCAAACTGATGCCGCTGATTCATAGATCTGGTTTTCAATGACTTTTTTGGTAAATTTTCCACTGAAGCATTTTAAGAATTTTGATATTTCCTAGTTTCTTTGTGTGTGTGTGTGTGTGTGTGTGTGTGTGTGTGTGTGTGTTTTCAAATAATAATTTCAGGATTTCTCTAAAGGCACTTTCTGAGGATAACCCTTGTATTTAGTAACAGGAGCACCAGTTGCCATCTGTATTTCTGCTCGGCATTTTGCATAAATTCTCATATATTTTATCCTCTCCCCAACCCCTAGGGTAGTGATGGTGAACCTTTTGAGCTCCGCGTGTCAGCATTTTGAAAAACGATAACTTCACTCTGTTGCCGTGTTACATATAGAAATTTTTTGATATTTGCAACCATAGTAAAACAAAGACTTATATTTTTGATATTTATTTTATATATTTAAATGCCACTTAACAAAGAAAAATCAACCAAAAAAAATGAGTTCGCGTGTCACCTCTGACATGCTTGTCATAGGTTCGCCATCACTGCCCTGGGGGGTGGGCATTTTATCCGCACTTCACCAGATGACCGCCGTGGCTGGCAAATAATGGAGCAGGAATTGGAACAAGGCTGTAACTCCCCATGGACTTTGTCACACTGTCTGGACCAGTCGTGGGCAAACTACGGCCCGCGGGCCGGATCCGGCCCGTTTGAAGTGAATAAAACTAAAAAAAAAAAAAAGACCGTACCCTTTTATGTAATGATGTTTACTTTGAATTGATATTAGTTCACACAAACACTCCATCCATGCTTTTGTTCCGGCCCTCCGGTCCAGTTTAAGAACCCATTGTGGCCCTCGAGTCAAAAAGTTTGCCCACCCCTGGTCTGGACTCTCTGAGAACATGGTTGGTGTGGGAAGTGGGCTGCAGCAACAAAGCCGCAGGCAAATGGCCCAGCCTATGAATGTTTCAGCCTCAGAGGTTTTCTTCAAAGAGCTGTGAGGTTATACATCTTAGCCAATGAGAACACATTCTCCATGGCAACAGCGTGTGGTTTTGAAAATATTTCTGACTTCTCAATAGACCTTAGTGGAAGAAAACATGAACCTGTGATAGGACTTGACATTTGCATGTGAGCAAATGAAGGATCATTTGGCACCTTCCATCCTCTGAAAAGCACAAACCTTTAGGAACTATCACACCTTGGTTGTTGTTGTTGTTCAATTTTGAAGTTTCCTTGAAGTCATACAAGTGACTTGAAAATTTTACCTGTATTTATTATTAAGAGGAGTAAAAATTACTCTTTTTAAAAAAATTTAAATTCTTTATTGTTTAAAGTATTATATAAGTCCCCCCCCCCCCATCGGCCACTCCCTGGCCACCCCCACCCCCCAAAATTATTCTTTTTAAAAATAAGAAAATTCAGTGGAAAAAATATCCTTGCGTGAGGATTAACAACAGAAGATTAAAGGAGAGTATGCTTGTAAAGTTCTTAGGAACGTAGCATGTCCCTTTATTTGGAGACCTAGGAAGGAATATTCATTGGCTAGGTGACCCCCAGCCGTGAATGAATGTGGCATGGCTGCTCCACCATCAGTTTCTGACATACTTTTGCCAGGTCAATGCCACCCCACAGCTGTAATGCTATCCCTTGAAACACTAGGGAATTAAAGCCCCATTTTCCCCTCAGATTTTCGGGAGTAAATAGTTTAGGATGACACCTGTGTAGTTGCCTGACAGCTGCCTCCCAGACTCCTGTGCCTTTTTTATTTTTAATGTCTCATACTCAGAAACTTCCTTCTTTTCTGTTCATTCGAACTACAGCAGCCAGTACCATGTAGGCAGTTTGTTGAGCACTTTGGGAGGGCCAAGCACTAGGCCAACCCTTTACGTGCATTTGATCTTAACAATAAACTTGGTATTCTCACTTTACAGATGAGGGCATTGAACTTCAGAGAAATGAAAGTAACTGCCCCTCCCCCCGCCCCCAAAAAAAGGGGGAAGAGAGAAACCATCAGTGCTAAAATTTCTAGTGAATTTGCATGTGCATGAATCCACAACTAGCCTAGCAGTGAGTTCCCCACAAACACCTAAGATCGTGAGCAGCCTCCTGTTCATTTTGGGGTGTCACTGATTCCCTCTCCTCCTCCCCCCTCCCAGTTTAGCTTCTCCTGCTCCATGCCAGTGGCGTTGTGGTGGAGTTGGTAGGACTCCTTGAGGGTTGGCACTGTGATGGTGAGGCGGTTTCGTGAAAGATACTGCCGTGGCCCGCAAATGAGGAACTAGGTGCTGCACTTCCTGTCAGAAGGAGACAGCAAACACGCCTTTGGGCAGGGCCGACCTGGCCGCGGCTCTCCACCCTTAAAGCTGCAGTATGCGGCACGGACCCAAGTAGAATGGGCTTGCGATACTCGTGGTGTGTGGGCAGCCACAAGTGAGTACAGACTGACACCTTGTTGATCTGCGTCGTCTATTCTCTGGCATTCGATCTGACTTTGTTGTTGTACCTCAGCAGGTGTATCTTTGAACTTCTCCCCTGAATGACTAATGCTGTTAGTACTAGAAAACATGTGTGGTTTTTTTTCTGCTCTTGGTTTGACAGGGTTTTACAGTATGTTAACATCAAATTTGAACTTTCTTGTGAGGTCCACCATGCTGGACAAGGTAAGAAGCAGAGGCTGGTTGGCTGTTGATGGTTGCACAGCAGCTAGGACACTGGGAAGTTAGTTGGCGTTCTCTCTGGGCTTATTGAATGTTATTGTACCACTTACATAAACCTTCACTTTCGGAACCAGATGTGGATATTCAGTTTGGATGCTGTAACCCCAGTGTCTGAGGAGTGGCCTCTTAACTGTGGTTTTCTACAGTTGAAAACTTGCTCTGGATCCTGTAAAATTTATGATAACAAAACCTAATTCACATACCTGATGAGCTTCTCATACATATTATGTCAGACTTGCAGTTTATATTATTTGAATGTGGTCAGAGTTTGAAACTATTATAGTCTAGGTATCACTGTGGAAGTGGAAAGTCTGGGTACAAATTCTGGACTTTCATGCACTAGCTTTATGTTTTAATAATGGCTACGTAATAGTCTGTAAATCTGTTCTTTAATTTAACAAACTGCCCTCTCATTACTGACTTGGCTAGGTTGCTTCTAACTTTCAATGCTATTATACTTAAAGTTGCAGTGAATATTCTTATACACAGAGCTCTGCCAGGCTTTATTAGTGGGCCCAGGAAAGGTGTACACAGAACAGAACACAGCAGAAAAGGTACTGGCTTCAGTGTTACCTCAGCGAGGTCTTCCCTGGCCCGCCATATTTAAAATCGCAACCCTCAGACCTGCTGTATTTTTCACGTGGCTCTTGCTGTCTTCCAGAATCCTAGGTGTTTAATTTACCTGAATGCTCTTGTTCCCCTTGCTACGGGCATAAGCTCCCACAGGACACGGGTTTTGGTTTCTGTCACCAGCACCTAGAATAGTGCCTGGCATGTGAGTACTTGCTGAATGCGGGGGTCTACCCAGACCTGCCGACAAGATCGGTTGGAGGAGTGTCGGAGTTCATGGAAGAATTGCAGTGGGAGAAGAATTGCAATGAATAGTCTTTGGTCTCTAGACGCGCTAGGAAGCAAGAAAAGGCCACAGGGACCGTGAACTGGGAGCCTGGAGGGTCAGCTCTTGGAAGTAATTATAGCAACAGAAGCACATTCCTCTGGCAGGAGAGCATGGGAGAGGTAGATGGTCAATAGGTGGTTGTTGTAGAAGGGAATTTCCCAAGGTTTACGTATTAGTGGCAGGGTTAGTAGGGAACTAATTTTGCTGGGAAGGGACTCTATCACTTTTTGTTTCTGCCTTAACAAAGAGCCTCCTGAGTGCTGGTAAGTAGAGCAAGTTATGCCATCAAAGGCTTTTTTCTTATTGGAGATCTAGAGGCCCAGTGCACAAATTCGTGCACAGGTGGGGTCCCTCCACCTGGCCTGCCATCAGGGCCAGCCAGCTGTGGGGAGGGACCGTGGGAGGTTGGCCGGCTGTAGGAGGTTGGCTGTGGGAGTGCACTGACCACCAGGGGCAGCTCCTGTGTTGAGCATCTGCCCCCTGGTGGTCAGTGTGCATCATAGCAACCGGTTGTGTGGTCGCTTAGGCTTTTATATCTATAGATGTCTCTGCGCTAATCTCAGTAAGCCAATATGCCAGTAAAGTCGGTCAGACAATTAAACAGAGTTAGTGACATTATCAAACCAAGCTTCCAAGTTAAATTTACAGCCCAGCCTGAGTGGCTCAGTGGTTGAGTGTTGACCCAGGAACCAAGAGGTCACCAGTTTGATTCTTTGGTCACGGCACATGCCCAGATTGCTGGCTTGATCCCCACTAGGGGAGGTGTAGGAGGCAGCCGATCAATGATGTTTCGTGCTTTGAGGTCTAGCTGAGAAATGCTTTTCCACATCTCTGTACCTTTGTCGGCTTTATTTGTACAGGAGGTAGGTATATTTGAATGATATGAGTTGAGCAAAGCTCTGTCTCTTAATAAAAAAAAACTTGAACTCGTATTTCTTATAACCAAGGCTTCCTTCAAAATAGGATTTGATCACCATATTGACAAGGAGGACATGATACGGCATTGTAGTAGTTTTCTCTATGTGGACGACTTAAGAATTTTGAATGTGCTTCCTCCACCTACCATTAACAACAGTTGGAGTGCCCTTGCATTGCATGGGTGGGGTGATAGGCTCTTCCATACCCCATATAACCGTCTATGGTGTAGCCAGTTTTAAGAGAAATGTTTAACAGGCCTGGCTTCTGTTGAAAACCAGGCTAGAGTCATCCTCCTTACATTTCCTCATTATTGGGTTGTTAGCATAACATTAACTATTTTAAGAACCCAGATTTCTTTTTATTTTGATCAAAATGACATCCTTAGGGAGGAATCCTGTAGTTTTTATTTAACCCATTTGTGGCCTCATGAGGAGGATGGAACAATTAGTGATATCCCGAATCACTGGGGAACTGTCCAAACCAGATTTCTCCTGCAGAGCCTCAAAGAGCAGTCAGGGCCTGGCCAGCGTGGCTCAGCAGTTGAGTGCTGACCTATGAACCAGAAGGTCATGGTTCAATTCCCGGTCAGGGCACATGCCCGGGTTGTGGGCTCGATCCCCAATGTGGGGTGTGCAGGAGGCAGTCGATCCATGATTCTCTCTCATCATGGATGTTTCTCTCTCTCTCTCTCTCTCTCTCCCCCCTCTCCCTTCCCCCCCTCTCTCCCCCGCTTCCTCTCAGAAATCAATTAAAAATAAAAAGCAGTCAGGGTGGCAGTACTATGTGAGACTTAGGGTCCCACCTGTACCTGGGAGGCGGGACGGAGCCGCATTAACCATAGGCTGCTTGCTTACAGGGAGAATGCTGGAGAACCCGACTCCTGGAGCAGTTTGTCCTATGAAATACCCTGTGGAGACTGTTCTGTGAGGCATCACCGGGAGCTGGACGTCTACACACTAACCTCAGAGCCCCAGGCTCACCATGAGCCCCCACTTCCTGCAGACAGCTGCACTGGGCACATTTTTAAACTTATGAACATCCAACAGCAGCTAATGGTAAGGCAGAAATTTCCATTCTCAGGCCTCTGTGCCCTCACTCCTTCCCCCAGTGAACCTTGGCTATATTTAAAACAAAAACGCTTCCCTTAAAGATTGCGAAACCTGTAAATAAAGCAATATTCAGTGTTTTAGCAATATTCAGTGTTTCTGCTTATAGATGAGAACTAGCATTGGGTTTGTAGCAGTAGGAGGCTGAGAGAATTTTTTATTGGATTTTGTAGTAATGAAAGATACACAGACACATTGCAGATATAGAAATACGTAACAACCAGAACTAAATTTTCCTGGCATGAAAGGAAATTTGTCTGTTTGTCTTTATAAATTTGTTGGTTTAACTTTATAAAACTAAATGGGCAAAGTAGCTTCTGATATTGTTGCTAAAGAACAAGAACCAGATTTCCTCAGAAAAAAGCCTTTTCACAACTTTTAAATGAGTGATGATAGTGCTGCTGTATCTGAATCGATAGTTATATGGTACAAAGATCACTAAAAAAAAATAAAAAAATTTATAATTCACTCAAGGCCTCCAAGATGAAGTTGTTGCCAGACATAAAAACATTACAGACTCCCTGATAGCTTTGATTATGGATAATACGAACGTCATGTGGGTACCGCTCTCCGGCCATAACATCTGAAAGGCTAAGTTTAGATCATTTTTCCACCCAGTTTATTTCAGAGATGATTTGATTTGGAAAAAGCTTGGCAATAATTTCATTTAAGGTCATCTAGGGTCAGCTCAGTGCCAGAAGCTTCTTGGGGAGCAGGCATTACTTCTGAGGCCAGCAGGCCGATGCACTGCATTGGAGAGTTGGATGCGGAGCTTGCCTCTGCCTTTCCCAGTATGAACAGGTGTCATATTATTTTCCTGTGAATGGCTGGCAGGAAGTCAGGCTTTCCTGCAGGCTTTTCTTCCTGGGTGAACCAGAGTCCAGCTGAAACTATCAGTTTGCAGGTGTTAAAGCTACCTCAAGGTATGGGAATCGTTGAACATGAGACACTGAAACTGTCCGAGGATGCATGTGTTAGGAGCATCTAATGTTTTTTTCAAGAAATGCTACTTGTTTCTGCCAGTCTCTGTTCTGTAGTGTTTGCCTGTTATTAAATTTAATGAACTGCGTTCGTAATTTTTAGGAAACTGTTATGCTTTCAACAGGAACTGGAAGCAAGCTAATTTTGACTATGCCAAGAGCATAGCACAGAAGCTTTTGTTTACGCATTTATTTTTATTGATTTCAGAGAGGAAGGGAGAGGGAGAGAGAGAAACCAGCTTCTTTTTATCTTGATCAAAATGACATCCTTAGGGAGCAATCCTGTAGTTTTACTTAACCCATTTGTGGCCTCTCCTGAGGGGATGGAACAATTAGTGAAATCCCAAATCATTGGGATATCATCATTGATCGGCTGCCTCCTGCAGGCCCCCCACTGGGGATCGAGCCTGAAACCCAGGAAAGTGCCCTGACTGGGAATTGAACCATGACCTCCTGGTTCATAGATGGATGCTCAACCACTGAGTCACACTGGCTGGGCTCACCTTTTATATTATTGTTTATTTTTATCATTCCATCGGCTGTGGAGCTATAAGGGAGAAAAGTGATAGCAGGAACAGGAGAAACTTCTCTGTCTTTATTTAGATCAGCTCATCATGTAGCCTCAGAAGAGCTGGAATGGTCGTCAGTTTTCTCCAACTGGGTTTTTGTTGATAGGTGTCAGTGACATCTTTTCCCATGAACAGTTTTTAAAAATTTTCTTTCATTTCCTCCTAGAAAACAAACCTCAAGCAGATGGACAATCTAATGCCCTTAATGGTGACAGCCCAGGATCCTTCGGGTGTGCTCACTGCCCAAGATGCAGATGGCTCCTTTCTTCCCTGCGCATCAGGGTCCACGGACAGCCCGCCGCCTTCCTCTCCTCCTGCCGGTGCGGGGAGCTCTCCACGTGGCTCCGGGATCACGGCCGCGCAGGTAGAACGTCCCTCTGATTTCTCCAGTGCGGGCAAGGAAGAGAACACAGATTGTTCCTGTAGGAAGAAAAATAAAGGCGTGGAGACAAAAGAGGAAGAGGCGGAGCCTACCGTGGACTCTGAGACTCGGTCTAATCCCCAAAGCTGCCTTCAGAGCATGTCTGATTGTGGGGAGAAGGGGAAAGAAGGCCTTCCCCCCTGTGAAATCGGAAATGAAGAAACTCAAGCAAAATCTGCCACCCTGGCCACAGCCCAGGGGTCTCTGAGCAGTGGGGGTGCTGCCCTGCCGGGAGTTACACTCATGGAGTCAGGCCCGGCCCCGCATTTCCCTGCAGGTGAACAGGAAGGCAGGTCAACAGGAGATGCTGGTGTCCCAGAGACCGCAGAGGGAGCGGAACGTGGTCTCAGGAACCCAGATGCCACCACCCAGAAGAAGGTGCTCGCAGCCGGGGAAAGGACAAAGGAAAGACTGGAGAACTCTCATGTCGGTGCAGCTGGAGCCTCTCATGTCAAAGACACAAGGCAGCCAGTGGATAAAGCCATGGTTCCAAACTGCGTGTCTGCCACCAGCTCCCTGGACGGTGAGACGCCTGCTGAGTCGGTACTTGTACTGAGTCATGGAGGAGCCCCTATTGAAAAAACTGCCGAAACAGAAACTTCCAGATGTTATGACGCGAGTGCCGATGATCAGAGCCCTGCCAGCGTTCCAGCTGCTGCAGATGGCAAGATGGATGCTCCCTTAGCACACACGGGTGGGGCAGTGTCGTCCGCTGATCTGCCCTTCCCCCGGCCACAAAAAGATGCTTTGCCGAAGGAGAAAGCAGAAACGAATTCACCTCATCTTCAGAGCCAGAACGACCAGCCACCCATCTGCTCTCCACCTGGAGACGATCAACCTCAAGCTGCCTCTGCCAGTGGACAGAGTACAGTGACGTCTAGTGGTGCGCTGGCTGCAGAGCATCGCGATGACACAGACACCCCGCCTGCAGGCTCCGCCACAGGCCCACCCCACGCACAGCCTCCGCCCACTGCCGTCTGCCCGGAAGGCCCACAGGCTGAGGCCGTCACCCCTGACCCTGTAGGAGACACCCAGGAAGATGTGGGTTTTTGTCCCCTTGAAGTTTTGGATACAGCGGGCCAAACAAGACGTGTGAACTCACAAACACCTCTCACAAACGCGCTTGAAGTGGAGCTGCATCCACACGCTGTTTTCCCCAAAGCAGATCGAGAGCCAGTGCCAGACCAGGCGGTGACATCAGGCAGGACTTTCTCTCCGGCAGGCAGTCCAGGCAGTGAATCAGTAACGAAAGATGACGCACTTTCTCTTGTCCCCTCCCAGAATGAAAAGGGAACAGCAACTCCCCAGCCACTTACCGCTACAGACGGTAGAGATGGCGGAGATTGGAGTGATCCAGATAAGCAGCCACTAGAAGACGGTGCAGCAGGCCTGCCCACACCCCCCGCTGCCCTGGATCCTCAGCCCAGCATGGGGAACGCCAGTCCTGGAGGATTTGGGGGGGAGCAGGAGGACCCCTGCCTCCCAGCAGCCCCTGAAGTTAGGAACATGGAAGGGGGCACCGACTCTTCCCGGCTACATGTGGCTGAGGCCCCTCTGGCCTCTGATTCCAGTTTGACTGAAGAAGGAAAAAGCCCGGTGGTTCCAGAAAGCTCTGCGGCTCAAGGACAAGGTGACAGATTGAAAGCAGTGATTTGCTCCTCCACTAAGGAGGACACGCTTCCTCCAGGGGCGCTGCGGGAAGAGCAGGGAACAGACCCTCCGCGACAGGAGTCACCAGGGGACCAGGGAGAACCTGGCGCAGCTGCCTGTTCCCGGGACAAAGCACTTGAACACAGCGGTTCCCGGGGCACACCCTCGGCCTGTCTGAATGCAGAAACTAAACACAACGAGGAAGTGGCCCCACCAGCCTCACTGCTGACTGAAGGTGGGGCCGCCCAGAGCCCGGTGCCACCGGGAGCAGGTCTGGCCACAGACGCGGGCCAGGAAGCCGTGGGTGCAGAGCAGAGCAGCTCACCTCGGCTGCCGGGTCTGTCCCCAGATGCCTCTCGGGCTCCTAATTGCAATGGACCTTCTGCTGTGGATGGAGTGACGGACGCTCAAGCCCAGGGAGAGACTGCTGCTTGCGAGGCGAGTGGAAACATGGCATTGGATGTGGCAGTGGGTAATGCGCTACAAGGAACTGCGGAAGCCAGAGGAACGGCTTTGTCGCACAGTGCCCAGGACCTGCCCGTTCCGGAAGTCTTGCTGCGCCAGGAGAACGGGATCCAGGTTTTGCCAGGAGCCTTACCAGACAAAGGTGGGACCAACCTCCAGGGTGCTGCAGCCCCAGAGACGGTGCCTCCTGTTTGGGAGAAAGGGAAGCCGGAGGGAGCCCACCGCAGCTGTAGCAGGGATGCCTCCGAGGGGGCACAGATGAATGACACACGCTCCGTCCCCCTGCAGCCCACTGCCAAGGAGCTCCCCGCAGAGGCAGGGCTCTCCACCAGTGATGACAAGGCCCCCAGCAGGGACAGGGGTGCTCCCCCTGACCCTCACGCTGTGTCTGCCGAGGCCGGGCACCTGCCTGAGAGCGCAGACTCCATCGAGGAGGCTGCGAGTCGTATAGTGGATGCCGTCATCGAGCACGTCAGGGCCTCAGGAGCCCTGCTCACAGAGGGCGACATCAGTCACCTGCCACCGTCCAGTCCTGCGGAGACAGGACCGGGGGCTGGCCAGCCGGAGAGCGCTTCTGCCGGGAAAGTGCACGCCCTCCTGTCTGGGGAGACCCCACCAGCGGGCAGTAGTCGTGAAGAAACACCCGGGAGCCCTGCCGGATGCTCTGCTGGAAGGGAGGAGCCAGAGAAGATCATTCCGCCGGTTCCAGGACCTGAGCCAGCAACAGGTGAGCAAAGCAGATGTGAAGTTAACTTGAGAGACAAGCTCCCTGAGCATCTGTGTGCTGTGCAGGTAGGAATATAGGTGTCCTTGCTGGTTAGAGGTCTTGCATTCACTGGGCAGGCTGCTAAATGACTAGTCACCACCCCCAGAGAGGCACGCCCCTGCCTCCCCCCCCCCCCCCCCCGCCCCCAGTGCCGAACAGACTTTGCTTCCTGTATTGTAGACCCCTGGCTCCATTGCCTGAGTCTGTAGGTGCTCTGTCTGTCACACTGGGGTGGGGTGGGCGGTACGGTCCTATTAACCTGGAGCTCCATGTCTGCTAGGTCCCTGCTGCTCTGAAATGATGAAGGAATTTAGCAGGTGCGTGTATTCACATGGCTTAGGCCTTTTCTCTAGAGCCATCCAAGACGGTGCTGAAATAGAGTGTTTCCTTTACATGCCTGGAACTCCTTCCCCCATCCTCGCCTGTGTTCTGAGCAAATTGAGAGTCAGAGTGGTTTCATGAATAACTAGCTGTTAGTATCGGTCTAAGCCGATGGCCTAACATCCCACATGGTGGTATTAGGTCATCCGTGGGGGGCGGGGGGGCACCCCCTCCTCTTCCTGCTCTAGGACCAGACCTCCCATCCCATGGCCTGTGGCTTTTGGGCAGCAGTCTGGGAATGCAGGCCGCTGCACGGTGCAGGCATAGGATGCAGGATTTCCGCCCCAGCCCAGTCTGCTGAGCTGCTGTCACAGGGCAGACGTGGTGTCTGCTTATCTTGGTGAAGCAGCTGCAGTGAGCTGATTGCTCACACAGCCGCCTGCTCCATGTCCACAGAGCAGAGCACCCCCACTGCGCAGGGCAGACCCGCTCTCTCTGAATAAAACTTCTCCCTGGGAGTTGGCCGGAGCTGAAACTGGAGCCAGGCTCCGTGTTCCTCCCGAAACCTGTCAAGGTCAGTTCGATTCGCTTTGATACCACCACCTGTTACCAGGTATAGACAGAGGACCTGCCTCCATGTTTGGCCCCAGGCTGTTGTAGGTAAGACCTAGCCTGTTTTGTTTTTGTTGTCTGACTGTGTTTTTGATGTTTTTACTTCATTTTTGAAAATCCCTTTAAGTGCAGTACGAGTTAAGCGTGTGGGGGTGGGGTGGGGTGTGTAGAGAAATGAACAAACAGAACGTGAAAAGGCGTTGCTTAGGAAATAGAGCAGTGCAAACACATTGTCGTTTCCCCGAAGCAGCATTGTTAATCATTTATAACTTTTTTTTTTTAAATTCAGTGGAGGTATTTAAGAAACGTTCAGTAGTATTTTTTGGTGACGTTAGGGTTTTAGTTTTATTGATGTTTTTATCATTAGTGGGAGAAACTTGTTGGCTGCTCTCTCAGAATTTCAGTGAGGAGGTCTTCACTCTTTAAAATAAGGCACAAAAACAAGTCTATTTTGGGGGCGCGGCAGGTTGACATTTGGGAGGAAGGGGAACGGCTGTAAGCTGATGCCTGGCCGGGTTCCTTTCCTTTGGGTGCAGCGCCTTGGGCCACATGCGCTGGAATGGTTTCTCTTTCTGGCTCAGTGAGACTTAACACAAGGCAGCGTGAACTATAGGAGCTTTGTGTCTGTAGTGCCCTCAGAAAGGTAGAAACCAGGGAGAATTTCAGACCTTGATATTTATCAGCACCTAAATATAGAAAAGATCTTCAAGTTTTAGGAAGGAAAATGCGATGAATACCAGTTCAACGGTATCTCTGGGTTTGGGGCTGTTGGTTGGTATGTGTGGGCGAGTTACTTGTTCAGTTACCAAGAGGAGTCATATGTGCTCCGTGCTCATGGTCTCAAATTACAGAGAGAAGTGGCCAGTGATAAAAATCTGTGCTTTCTTCAGAAAAATAGCCCGGATTGGGGAAAGCCCCTGGTCACATCGCCCTGGAAAAAAAGCCCCGAGTGTGATCTCAGAGCAAAAGGGTTTTTTTTTCTAGGAAGTTCATATTCCATTCATGAGCATAACCAGCCTGTTTCATGAGTGAAGGGACATGAGTTTACCTGCTGATTTGGAAGGAGCCCCAGGGCCCTGGCTTCTGTTTTGTTATTTGCTGCTGTGGATTAAGCCAAATAGAAATTGAAATGGGGAAAACACACAGCTTCTGGGTAGAAAGAGGGGGTGAGCCCTTCCCCCAAGAGCATTGGTCTCAGGGCTGTGGGAACCTGGTTGTACACGAGTGAGCCAGGCCAGTCAAGTGTCAGTAATCACTGTTTACCATTGCGACTGGCCAATGCTTGCCAAAAATCCGTATTATCAGTTGATGGGCATAGGATAGCAAGGTCATGCCAAAAATCACATCCCCCAAATAAATAAAACAAAACTCAACAACAGTAAAAATCTACTCTGGTTCACCTTGAAATATCTTGGTCAAGGAATGCTTCTAAGGGCATGGCTTAGTCAGATTTTTTTAATTTAATCACATTTTTGAAATATAGGACTGAGGTTGGTTCTTTGGATTTCCTTGCCTGTTTTTAAGTTGCTAGTAAGAGTATGTAATTATAGGGGCAAAGAAAGATTTATAAGGTTTGTTTATAGAAATGTAACTTTCCTAAATCTAAAGTAGATCCTTGTGCATGTCACAGTGTCCTTTTAGGACAAAATCTATGTATATAAAAGGCTAAGAGACCGACTGTATGTCTATCCGACCGTCCGATACATGACGCACACTGGCAATTTAAAAATAAACATTGACTCGCACATGCGCTATACATATAAAGCTTCCATCAAATTTCTTTTTTTTTTTTTTAATGTATTTTATTGATTTTTTTACAGAGAGGAAGGGAGAGAGATAGAGAGTTAGAAACATCGATGAGAGAGAAACATCGATCAGCTGCCTCCTGCACATCTCCTACTGGGGATATGTCCGCAACCCAGGTACATGCCCTTGACCGGAATCGAACCTGGGACCTTTCAGTCTGCAGGCCGACGCTCTATCCACCGAGCCAAACCGGTTTCGGCCATCGAATTTCTTAATGGTGTTACTCCTTTGGGAATGCTGTGCCATAAATTGAAATTGAAAGTAGGTGCAGTCATCATGCTAATGAGAAATCTCAATAGTAAATGGGGTCTTTGTAATGGTACTAGATTTATTATCAAAAGATTGCGACCTAACATAATCGAAGCTGAAGTATTCACAGGATCTGTGGAAGGAGAGGTTGTTCTGATTCCAAGAATTGATTTATCGCCGCCTGACACTGGCCTCCCATTTAAATCAATTCAAAGACAGTTTCCCGTGATGCCAGCATTTGCAATGATTGTTGATAAGTCACAAGGACAAACTCTAGACAGAGGAGGAATATTCCTACCTGAACCCGTTTTCTGACATGGTCAGTTATATGTTGCTTTCTCTCGAGTTCAAAGAGTGTGTGATGTTAAGGTTAAAATTGTACATACTTCATCACAAGGGAAATTAGTCAAGTGCTCTGAAAGTGTTTTCACTCTAAATGTGGTATCCAAGGAGATATTAGGATGAGTTTAATCAATTTATCAGTCATTGTTTTTATCGATGTTTTTATATCATGTTTTTGTTGCTTCTATATCATGTCTTTGTTATATCAAGTTGTTATTGCTTATTAATCAATTTATATGTTATTTTCATATACATTTTACTGATTTTCTTTCATCTCTGACACTTGTATTAGAAAGGGCGAATAGCAATATTAAAATATTTCTTCTCATTAATCTCCTTTCAATGTGCATGGATCCGTGCACCGGACCACTGGTTTTAATATAGTCTGTTCTTCGGTGAAAGAAGCCTCTCTGCCCTTTGGTGTAGGGAGCAGTTCTGTCTGCCAGAGCAGTGGCATGACTAGATTAATAACCGCAGGAAGTTTTCCAGGTGAAATGGAGATGACCGTTCCATTTGTGTTTGGATTATCAAGGTGAATTTTGACTGTTCAGTCATCAGTCCCCTTCAAAGAAGTGCCAAAGCCTAAATTTGCTTCAGACATTTTAGCACGTCCTTCCTGTGTTTGCTTACCCATACGGTGACCAGGTAACCACTGTTGTTTGGTCTGTGTTGAGCATAATTCTAGAGAAGACTTTTTCTTAAAAAAGGAAAACTTTTTCTTAAAAAAGGGAATTGCTCTTTTGTGATTATGTCTCGGTTTGGGAGGAAACAAAAGTTAAAACAATAACTTACTAGAACAGTTAGTGTTACCATTTGCAGTTCTGAGTAAATGAATGCATATAGTGTTTTTTATTTTTAAAATATTTTTCTATTGATTTCAGAGAGGAAGGGAGAGGGAGAGATAGGTAGATGAGAGAGAATCATTGATCGGCCGCCTCCTGCACGCCCCCACACTGGGGATCGAGCCCGCCACCCGGCATGTGCCCTGACCGGGAATCAAACCTTGACCTCCTGATTCATAGGTCGACGCTCAACCACTGACCCATTCTGGTCAGGCTGTATGTAGTATTTTTAAAGAAAGACTTTTCTCAAAAGCTTTCCCTCAGTGCTTTCTTTTCTGTCCTGTACACATGCAAGCATCTCTTGCCTCTCGGATGATGGTGGAGATGGACCGCCTAGCTTCAGCTGTTAATCTGTTACCTTGAAGCATATGTAAGTCAGCACCACACTCAGGTTTGTCATGAAAAGTCAGTGGTGAAAATGGAAGTTCAATAAACATTGAATTGGACCTTCCCTTACCTACAAACCCATACGAAAGCCAGAGAAAACCATGCAGCCATGTAGTAAAGGAATAGCTCAGCATCGGGGCAGAAATGACACCAACTCCTGAAAGAAAAAGAATGCTTTTCCACGTAGCCCCAAAGCAAAAACACAAAGCACACAGAAACACATGAAACCCGGTGCATGTGTGTCAATAGTACGGCGCGGGCATCGGTGTTCCAAATGCACTGTGTAACCCTCGTGTTCTCTTCAGAAATGCCAGACACCAAGGCCGACGATGAGGTGGACTTTCTGAGGAATCCCAGGCAGAGTTCCGTTTCTGAGGAGGCGGCTGGAGGCGACACGGCTGCGCCTTCGGGGACGAGACAAGGCCTGAAGACACAGACGGTGAGTGGCCTCGATCTTCGCCAGCACAAGCCGTGTTCAGCGTGGCCCGGCGGGCCTGATTGACGGCCTTGTTTTTTTGTTTTGGGGAGTGTGTTTTCCTTTCTCTCGTTCCATGACATGTAACCGTGGCTGTGCAGTTAAGCCTTCATAAATGGTGTGCACCACAGGGCGGAGTTGTGCAATGGCCTTCCGGAGCGGATCCCTTGGAGATGGTGATGGAAAAGATTGTATTTTCCCTGTGAGCACAAGACCTTTCAGTTTGTCACCAAGTTTAATGGGTCACAAAATGAGAATTACCAAAGAGATGTTAGCCCTTTTAAACCTGACTCTTTCCTTTTTTTTTTTTTTAATGTTTTATTGATTTTTACAGAGAGGAAGGGAGAGGGATAGAGAGGCAGAAACATCGATGAGAGAGAAACATCAATCAGCTGCCTCCTGCACGCCTCCCACTGGGGATGTGCCCACAACCAAGGTACATGCCCTTGACTGGAATCGAACCTGGGACCCTTCAGTCCGCAGGCCGACGCTCCATCCACTGAGCTACACCGCCTATGGCTCCTTTTCTTTATGTAGAAACTGATAGCAGCAAAAATGAGATTTTAACTTAGAGCTCAATATTGTCTGTCTGCAATACGAAGTCTGTCGTTTTTAGTGATGAAAAAAATGGTTAGTAGGTTTTTTTTCCACAATAGCTCTATTGAGATGTTATTTCTTTTTGTTAATCCTCACCGAGGATATTTTTTCAATTTTTTTCTTTTTATAGAGAGTGGAAGGGAAGGAGGGAGGGGGAGAAAGAGAGAAACATCGATGTGAGAGAGACACATCGATTGGTTGCCCCCCACGCATGCACCAACTCTGGGCTGGGGATCGAGCCTGCAACCGAGGTGCATGTCCTTAACCGGAATCGAACACCCTTCAGTCCTTGGGCTGACTCTCTAACCACTGAGCAAAAATAACTAGGGCGAGATGTTATCTTTTTTCATAACAGCTTTATTGCGATGTAGTTTTCATACTATGAAATCATACTCATTCAAGTAAATGCACAGTTTAGTAGTTTTTAATAGCTTTACAGAGTCTTGCAACTGTCACCACTATCTAATCTTAGGACAGTATGGTTATCCCACAAAAGAAACCTCACTTTTTTTTTTAAAACCCCACTTTTATTAGCTGTCCACCCATCCTTCCCCCATCTCCTGGTGGTCACTAATCCTCTCTCTGTCTATGGATTTGTCCATTCTGGAATTGCATATACATGGAATTATACAGTATATGGGTCTTTCACTGAGCATAGTGTTTCAGGGTTCACCCATGTAACATCGATCAATATTTCATTTCTTTTTATTGGTAATAGTCCATTCTGTAGATATGCCGCATTTTGTACATTTGGATTGTTGTTGTTTTTTTTTGGCCATTGTGAGTAATACTGCTATGCATCCTTGCAGACAAGTTTGTGTGGACATACGTTTTTATATACCTAGTAGTTGATTTGCTGGATCGTATGGCAATTCTGTATTTAATATTCAGTAAGTTTTAAAATGCTTTCCTTCGGGTTCTTGAAATGACTTTTCTTCTTCTTTAAAGCTATGAATTTTAAAAACAAGGAACTTTAACTTGTAGAGAGAAACATTGCTTTCAATTTGAAATTCCACGCTGGTTTAAGAAAAAGCAAAAACCTTTCGGAAGCTGAAAATCAAGTTACTGCACTCAGTTATATTGCCTCTCAGAACATCAGTCCTCCTTGTCTAGACCAGATGGTACACTGGTTTGGTTCTTCAGAGGGCTAAGTGGTATATCTTCTTAAAGTTCCACTAGTATAAACAGCACTGTACCCTCCCAAACTGTTCCAAGTGTCTGAAGGGTGATAAACAAGCCTGGTTTTATTGGAGTGCATTGGGAGGGAGGTGCTGACCGTTCTGACCCGCTCCTTAGTGCAGATAATACTCATGACTAATGCCTGGGTGGCTCTTTGTATAGCAGGCGTTTCAGACCAATGTTGCTTTTGCCTCTGGGGAAAGAAAAGAGAACACACCCTGCATGGGTAGGGTACATGTGTCTTTGTTTCCAGAAGCCCCTCCAAAAAGAGAAGGAACAAACTCATATCCTCGAATTCAAATGCCTGTTTCTCAGTCCTCCACCTTAACAGGGCAGTGGTTAGTGTCACTGAGCACAGCCCGATGCTTGCTTTCCCATGAGAGATACCTCCATTGTGATGGTATCTTGTCCATTATAAAGAAGACAAAACATTTTTAAAAATAAAAGACTCCCTCATCTCTTTCCTGTTTTCTTTTTCTTCTAGTTTTAGGCATTGAGAAAGATAATATTCCTCTGGTTGGTCAGTGTGCCTCATCCTATATAATAAAAGCCTAATATGCAAATCAACCAAATGGCAAAATGACCAGCCACTGGCTGGCAGTGGGGGGCGGGGCCAGCCAACGAGTGGGCGGGGCCAGGCTGGCCAAGGCAGGTGCCAGCAGGGGGGTCCCCATTCACCCTGCCGGTTGCCCCACAAATCGTCCCTGATCGCTGGCCAGGCCTAGGGACCCTACCCATGTACGAATTCCGTGCATCGGGCCTCTAGTTTCATAGATAAAAGAATTAGAGGTTCAGAGTCACATGGCTAGCTCAAGATCAGTCTGAGCTAGAATGAGAGCGTGGAGTTCGATTTATAATCTAGGATTCACACAGCACTGCACACACATCCTCCTGACTCTTCCCCCGCGGCTATATTCTAAGGAGCAGCCGTAGGTAAGAACCGTGTAATGTGTTGATGGGGGAGACCTCTGCCTCATGCTGTGTGTATGTTGGCACTTCATGTAGTTGGAGAAAACATGTTAAGCATCTTCTTAGTTCTTGAAGATCGTCAGGTCTAAATAGTGGAGATTTTTTGTGTGCACAGCATTGCAATGATGTGAAACCTGGTCACTTGCCTCTCCTCCCTGGCACTCTGCCACACTTGCCTATTTGCTATGAATTGAAAGGCTGCAGCATGCACACACGCTTTCGTTTTCCCCTGTGTTCCATGTTCTCTTTTCCCCCAGGTAACTCCTCATGTGCCATAGTCACTGTGTGTGTTTTTACTAGGAAATAGGAGTCTGTAAAACTCTTCTTGAAAAGGACAGACAGTACATATTTTAGGCTTTTTGGGACATAGTGTCTCTTACAACTAGTCAACTTTGTGAACAAGAGTGTGTGTTCCACTAAAACTTTATTTAGCACTAGCCAGTTTGGCTCAGTGGATAGAGCATTGGCCCGCAGACTGAAGGGCTCAGGTTCAGTTCTGGTCAAGGCCACATCCCTCAGTTGCAGGCTTAATCCCTGGCCCTGGTAGGGGGGGCATGTGAGGGCAACTAATCAGTACGTCTCTCTCACATTTATATTTCTTTCTGTCTCTTCCCCTCCCTTCCACTCTCTCTAAAAATCAATGGAAAAATATCCTCAAGTGAGGGTTACAGAAAAAACTTTATAGACACTAAAATTTGAATTTCATGTAACGTTCGTGTGTTACAAAATCCTCTTTTTTGGATAATATTTTTGAGTCATGTAACAATGTAAAATCCACTTTCAGGTTTTGTCATAGGCTGTACAAAAAGCAGGCAGTGGGCCCCTGGCCTAGAGAATATTGCACATCAGTGGATGAAAAGAAAGCAAATAGGCTTGTTTTCTCTGTTGTTTCATTGGTTTCGTGGTGAGCGCTCTAGTTGCTATCAGCAAGCAGGAAGGCAGAGCCCCGTCTGTGCCTCTCGAACTGGCTGTGTGGCTTAGCTTCTCCCCAGCTCGGTGTCTTCCTCCGTTTCTCCTCTTGCTTTAACCTCTGGAATCTGTTCGCGGCCTGAAAAGGTTACTTGAGCTTGTTGGTTGTAGTTGAGGGTGGAGTGGCGTTTGTTTAATATTATTTAATCCGATCTTTCTGACACATGCCCAGTCCCTGTGTTGGCCTTGGGAATAGGCCAGTCATTGCTTCATCGAATCATTGTTTCACGGAATCATCCTCTTCTCAAGGTAAAACAGGAAGAATTTGTGTATCTTACGCTGTGCTGGTGCATTTATGGCCATTTTCTAGCATACGTCAATAAAGACTCTATTTTAAATTCTTTTAGAAGTCTCCCTGTTTGGTAACCTTCTCTAAACATATTTATTGTCAGTGCACAGGGACCTCTGTTGAGTGTGGCTCTACCAAGTACTTAAAGAAAAGTCCAGTTGGGTTCTTGTTTGCTTTAGTTCAGCCGTCTGATACCTGTCATACAACCTGAGGAGCGACTTTTTCATTCCTTAACCTACCTGACATGTTGTGCTATAAATGAGCTCTTAATTTAGAGGTTAATAATGCTGAAAATCATGATTTCATGAAGGAATTGGGCAATAGCAGGATAAGTGCTTGCTTATTTTCTCAGAGAAAACACATTTATGTGTTTACTGCTGCAGGTTTCTCCATAGACTATAGATGATCCTAACAGATGTTTCTTCACTGGGTTGAAAATTGTTCAGATGTGGAGCCCGCCGTTGAGGAGGCCAGGTTGTTTAGTCATACACAATAGGGTTGTGGCTTGTTATTAAGTATTGCCAACGCTGTAATATTAAGTTACAATTTAATATTCAACACGATCCCCTCTTACACACTTCACTGGTCTCAAGATTCTCAGATTGCCTGTGTTCTGTTCTGTTTCCTTTCAGTGAGTTAATGTATATCAGGCACTGAGAGCCTGGCACCAGTGAGTACAGCTCAGCATCAGTCAGTTTCATAGCTGCAGCTTCCAGTGTTCTTTTCCCTCATTTCAGTGACCAGTGGCGTATGGTGGTTCCTAGAACAATCGAGACTCAGTTTCTGCTTCTTGAACATTGTTATAAAAGCTGCAAGAATAGCATCAGACCCTAATTTAAGGTGGGAGGCTGGGAGCTTGTTTGACCTCTGAGACATTTAGAATGTTAATGAACCTGAACGATGATCTGAAGTTCCATGGATTCAGCATGGTTAAGTGGCCGCCTCATTTCTCTAGTTACCT